TGTCCCAAAAAAACCTATCTTTTTTTTTTTTGCAAAAGTGCTGTACTGTCCCAAAAAAATCAAAAAAACCACTCTTTTCCAGTCTTGGAGCCCGCGAGGTCCCAGGACCGGAAAGGACTATTTTTTTGTCTTTTTTGGGACAGTACAGCACTTTTGCACCTGGACCATTCTCGAGTCTACCGACTCTGCACAGCCACACTCGCCGTGCAACAACACTGATGTCACTGCCAGTGGAGGCTCGACAGCAAGTTGTGGATTCTTGGCAATGCATGTACGAAAATCGGACAATCCGTGTATTCGCACGCAGCCGTCTGCTCCAACAGCATAAGCACTGGGCGTCACAATGGCCACGCCGATGGCGCCGTTAGAAGCTAACGACTTCAGCAAGTCCTCGGAAGACAAGGCCGGCTACTCGGATCGCAAAACTGGTCCAGGACATGGTCCGAAGATGATGTTATGCATGATGCGCGAGCGAACTCCCCCGAAGCATCTGCTGCATGCTTTGCGAATGCATACAACGAACCGAAAAAGAGGCCCGAATCAAGCGACTGCCTCGGTGAGCTCAGCCGTTGAAAGAGCCTGAGGAACGACTTGTCAGAGCTGTTGCCCAACGACTCGTGATCTTGCATGGCTCAATTAAATGAACTGCTTGCTCGTCTTTGTTGCAAGTGCCGTCCCGCGTCTGAAGCCCCCACGATTGTCCAGGGATCAACAGCTTGGGACAGCAGATTGGGAAAAGCACCACGCCTGTGTATGTCGTTGTGGTTCGTTGTGTACCATCTCGACCTGACGAATTCGAGTTCGTGGTTCTCTGGTGGTACTGGTGCTGAACGAACACAAACGAACCCTTGGGTCCCTTGGGCCTGGAACTCGGAATCGCTACACCAACCAGCACTGTCAGTCGACAAGGCAGCAGTCCGACACTCTGAAGTCTGAAGAATCGGCTGGGATTGGCCAGGACTGGGAGGACCTCTTTAGACAGATGCTTCGCAAGCTGTCAGGCTTCGTATGAAATGATGCGCCGCAAACGCTCGAAATTTGATGTGCAATCCTCTGGATCATGATTTCCATCCTCGCCAGGTTCGGATCCGCTTCACAGTGTACTTGCGAATTCTGGAAACCACAGGGCCTGCGCTGTGGAGCCCTGGCTAGATGGCTTTTCCTGGACAGGAATTGGGATCTCGCATTGTGATGCCTCGTCGTCCCCTAGCAACCACTGTCTTCGAAAGGCTGCGCTTTCCTACCATCTTCCCAACATCTTCGGCCTTGAGCCGGAAGTTCTCTTTTCGCAGCCGCTCGATCTCGGCCTTCTGGGATTTGGGAAAGTACACGGTGTTGCAATATCACGTGCTCGAAACCTCGCTTCTCTGGCTGAATTGCCAAAATGCACCCTCAAGCCGCCATGCACAAAATGCCAAAACGCCATAGCTTCATTCAGCATCATTCAGCCAATTGCTGCAAGAACGAGCTGTAGTAGGCTTTGGCAAGAACAGCCATTCTATTCTCCATGCAGCATGCTTCAAACAAACTGACTCTCAGAATTCTCTGAGACCCTGCCGAATGGCTGCAAAATCGTACCATGAAGGAACGGCCTGCAAACCAAGATTGTAACTTGTGCCCCTCCCTGCAGCACGAACCCCTGAGTTCTCCTTGCTCCCACACCTCGCCTGCAGCCCATGGACCATCTTCTGCCATTCCGCGTCACCTGAGTGTCACTTCACATGCAGCTGTTCTAGATTCTCTTTAAGGAAATGACGCAAACAACTTTCGAACAACAGTGCTTTCTATTGCACCCGCTTTAGCAGGACCTTTTTGATGTGTGTATACGTCATACACATGCTCACTCTCTTCCAGTATCATGTCGTCAACTGGCTTGGGGTGTTTCTAGCCGTGCCCATTCCGATCAGATTCTGCCATAAATGCCAGAACTTGCGCAGTGCTTATGCTTGCTCGTGTCGCTTACCAGCCTTCTGCGCGCCGTGTGCTGTTTCAACCCGCAGCTTACAAACTTACGTGCAGGAAATGGCCCACGGGTCAAGACAGCTGTATGCGCTTGGCATCGTACCATATCATACCGAACATGATGCGCTAGTGGCACAGCTGAACACAAGGACGGATCTTTGGAACAACCTTCACGTGACGACCGCAATCATCTCTTTCATAGAGGGCTTTGCCTTTGCTCGGCGGACTTGGACTGGCCGGGGTTGCGGCCTCGCCATTGTCAGGGCTCAAGTGTTGACAAAGGATATGACCACGATGCTTCTACTTGGCAGCAAAGTAAGCAGAACTTGCCCTTTGCTCGCCTCTGCCAACTGCTTCTTCAAGTCTGCCACTTGCCGTTCGAAGGCCTAGTCGTCTGTTTGCCGTACTTCCTTGACATGGTGAGAAGTATTCCGCCTATGGCCTGGCGACTTTCTTCTCGGACTGCTTGGCTTTTCAGAACAAGATCCTGCAAAGCAATTCGAGTCAGGCATGTTTCGTGTATGGTTATGTCATTGTCCTGGCTACAAGAAAGATGCTACGGCTGTGAAACGGATAACACAGTGCACAAGGCAAACTCAACACGCGACTGATTGATAAGTCAGTGTAAACACCCCAAACTGTGAGGTTACGGGCCGTGGCGCATCTTCCACCCAAAAAGCCATCCCAAAATACACGGTGATTTACCAAGTGGGCGAGCGCCAAAACATCCGTTACATTTTACAATGAAGTCGGCCTCCCGACCGGTACTGGCCCTGGAAGGAACGCGAATGTTGCTGGAAACGTGCAGCGAGCCACAGCGGGAGCTTCAGAGCCGCCAACGTAAGAACCTCATAATTTGCCCCTGTTTGGGGCAAGACAAAAAAACGAAAAACAAGTTTCGGAGGCCTCCCAACTTCCTCCGCTCGATCCCCCCGATCTTGGTTTCGCCAAGGGAATCAAAAGCAGCAAACACAGCCAAACCATGTCTTGTGGGAAATGGCGGGAAGGCCTTGGAAGTTCTAATTACCTATGTCATATTTGTTTTTGGTGTTTCGCTACCTTGCTGCTTGGGCTGATTCGTCTTTGCTTATCTTTCAAGCTTTTCTTCCAGGAACCCTAGACAACACAACGTCTGTGTTCCAAGTCCTACCTTGTGCCGGAAGTCAGGTGCTCTGCGACGCTCGAGTTGACAGGTAAGGACGTCACAAGAAGCATGCTGCCCCGCGACCTCTGCGTGAACCGCGCGTTCACGCTCGGCCAAACAATCATTCCTGACAGGCGCTTTGCAGTGATGTAAAGTTCCAAAGTAATGCAGCACAGGGCAGCAACTATGAATCTGCCTAAGTACCTACCTGCCTGCCTGCCTGCCTAGTATACATAAATATAAATAAACAAATAAATAAATACATATATATATATATACACATGTATATACATATACACGTATTGACAGATAGATATGCATTTATCACTCACTTGCTTGCTTGGTTGCTTGCTAGCTTGCTTGCCTACTTACCTACACGCATATAAGCTAACATGCCTATTTGCAATGTGTCTGTTTATGTACATGTATACGCATGCATGGATGGTACGGTATGGTATGTAGGTATGTAGGTATGTAGGTATGTAAGTAGGTATGTATGTATGTATGTACACAAACATTGACATCAACCAAAGAGTTGACTGACTGACTGAGTGACTGACTGACTGCACTGACTGAACATGACTAGGACAATAGTCGCAGTGCTACATCTTCAGGCACAGGGCGCAAGGCAAACGGCAAACATCTGCAAGCATCCCGCCACAAGCCGGAAAACTATTTTGTGGTCAATCGCCCATTTCTCGTGGTCAGCACGGGTAGAGTGGCGATGTTTGTTGTTGTCACTGGCGACCTCTACCTCTGTGCGAATCCCTGGATGTCACTGGACACTCCGGAAAGCCAACGCAAAATCTGCACCGACGGTGCGTGCCCGAGAAGGATGAGCTGACCGCATGTCCAAATCCTGCCACGAAGCGAGTTTTGATTCTGACATCCACCACACTACATGTTTCCAGAGTCTGCTCTGTCTGCAACACTAATTAACATTCCTGTGAGACATGATCACGACTGCATGACAAGACCAGACTGGTCTGGAAGGCGACATCGTCTCGACCTCCTCCATCAAGTCCTTGGCCATGAAATTGTGTTCATTTCTCTTCCGTACTCCCGGACCTTCGGCTTTTCGGATGTGAAAGCAGGAAGGATTCCAGTTTGGTCAGGTCAGGCCACCTACGGACCTACAGCTTGTGTACGCATGCGTAGTTGGCCGGAATTGTCGACTTTGCGACGCTTTGCCGCTGTTCATCTTCTGTTTTCCTTTCGGTCCGTGCGGCTGTTCGGTTTTGAAATCACTGGACGAAGCTTGACGCCTGCTTCCGCCTGAGCGACAAATCGTTGGAGAAGTACGCTGCAACGTCTTTAACATCAGGTCCAGTAGTGCCGTGCTGCCGTGGAGAATAAACTCTAGTAGCGGGAAAACCGTGGCGAGTCGATTTCCACCTTCCGCGACCCATCCCTTTTCCCAATTTAGCATGTCCGCCTTGGAGCAGACAAACCATCGGTGAATGTCAATGGAGAGCAGTGAGAATCTGAAGCAGCAAAATGTATATTCCCCGCGTGCGCCAAGGGCTCCCAGCTGAGCCCCTCTACGTCCGCTCATCTCTCAACATGCTCTCTGTTCCAAGACTTGCCAGCCAGGCAAAACAATCGAAGCGCCAAGTACAAGCACCAGCAGGCGCCAATTCCAGGGCGTCTTGCTTCCAACATTACTGCCTTGGTGCAACGTACAGTACAATCAAACACAGATCTGCCCAAGTCTAAGACCGTCGTTTGTTCAGGCTTGGGAGCAAAGCACAGAGAACAGCGTGGCACAATATGACACAGCCGGATTCGCTCACTGGACGGCTGTTTCTGATTCGCACGCAGCGGGTTCGCAGACTTAGTCTTTGCGCAGGCGGGATTCATGCACCGATGCTCAGAGAGTCACGTTTGTGTGTCGGATTCGTGCAATGGTTGGGCCTTCAGGAGGACTATATACTAGAAGACCACGCGTCCACTACCGCAACAAGTTCAAATCATCAAAATACTGGGTTCAAGTGCTACATCGACTCTGAACCACAAAAGACCCTAAAGTCTAAACCAAACAAAACCATGAACCCTAGACCCTACAATCCCTGAGCAGTAAAAGTTGACAAGCCCAAACACACTTCCTGAATCCCAAACTCCAAGCCCACCACCTTGAACCGAAATACCCTGAAACTAAGCAAATTGAAACCCCAAACCTAGCAACCTTAGACTTTGGAGTCTCTGAACCCCGAGAACTCGCAGCGCAGTGCTCGAATCGTCATCCGTGCTTGATTCACTCTTTGATCCTACCGGCTACGGCGGCTTAGGGGGCCCAATTCAAGCAGTCGAAAGAAAAGTTTGCCTAGCTGAGATGTTGGCCGGGGGCGCGACCACTGCGCGCCATGAACCTCGGCATCGTCTCAAGCAAAAACAAGCAGATAATCACACAAAAATACTAGTCATACACACCAGTACCAGGAAAGAGAAACACTTGGTAGAGGATCGCTGCAATCTGAGACAGCAAGCTCGAGCAAAGCTGTGGTAGGGCGTGACAATGGAAAAGGATGTGCAGCGGGCGCCTGAGCAATAAAGGCGGAGGAAACAACACTCACCCAAACCACAGCTATCGACCCTTATCGACCGACCACGGGAATTTTTTTATGCTGTCTCCGGCCAGAATGTCCTCGTTAATAATCAAAAAATAGAAGACCAGAGCAAACGTTAGGCGGTGCATTCCTTACAACAGCACATGCAAATCAAAGGAGCAGAACTACCCACACATACACAGAGATACACACACCCACAAACAACAAGGAACATGCAGATACAACAACACCAGTACGCAAGCACTCACCCCAACTCTGACTTAGCCTTGACTGACCACGGCGTGGACAGCCCGACGATGCTGGTCTGTGATGCCAGCCCAGTGGACAGCACGGCTGGTTTGGTATTTGTCCTTTGCATGAACATAGCTACCCTCGCGCTCCCACGCACCCTACATCTATCTCTGTGTCCTTATCTCTCTATCTATCTATCTATCTCTAGCTACCTGTCTGTGTAGCTAGCTAGTTTTCAGCTATCACACACACACACACGATGCGACTCTGCGTTCCTAGATCTGATTGTGGCATGACAGGGGCTGTACAAAGATTGCATCAGGAGCCCGACCAAGAGCGTGCGTCGTGGCACAAGAGGCATGGCGAAGGCAGCACTTTACAAAGAAACCGATGACCACACATTTACACTCAAATCTGCAGGTTCGACAACATGCACCTTTCAGCAGTGGGAGCACGCCAGGCCGTAGATGCACACGCATCAGCTCGCTTCTACTGAATCTACTTAGTCGACTATGTGGCCGTGCTGGTTGAGCAGGACAAAAAGCTGCAAACATGTGAGGTCCCCTGATGCGACCAATGCCTTCCTGATTCGAAATTTTAGGACCGCACGGCTGCATGATGTGAAGCGATAACATCGCGAGCAATCATGCCCCAATTTCCGCATAGCATCGCTGCTGACGATGTAAAAGAGTCAGAGGCGCGACTAAGTCTGCTGCCTCGCTTATTACTGACTCATACCTGCGAGGAATTCCGCTGCTGACCCGCCCAATCAAAACTGATGTTGATGTATCCCAGCGGTAGTCTGCCAAGAGCCTTGAGGGTTCACGGAGGGACTTCGGAGTGGTTGCTGACAGAATTCGTGCAGGCCAAATAAGCTGTACGAGTCCACGAAGGCTTTGCGTGGTGACGCTTTTGCGACCAACAACCTCGTCACAGCCAATTAAGCAACCCTACTCCATGAGCTCATCTTCGGATCCTTGTGGCTACACTGCTGCACCCGCAGTCAGCGGTACCTTCATCGTACTCGAACACGATGAGCTCAGTGGCTGCATCTAATTTCACTATTCTGTACAGTTGTGTTGTGCGCAACTGCACATTGCCCGCTGTGAGGAGGGAGCGAGGCTTAACTTCGGTGAGACACAGCTCCTTCGCCAGGACGTCTGGAGCCGCAGTATGCCTTCTGCCTCTTGAGGAAGCCCTCCAAGCGCCTGGTCGGCAGGCACATCTGAGCGCGAGCTGCTTCAATGCATGTAGCCTGTCAACTTGCACGATTAGCTTCCGGTTTGCTCTGCTTCTTCCATGTCCCAGTGAGCTTAGCAACAACTCGTGCGATTCAAACGAAAAGCAACGTCTTTAAACAACAAATCCTGCCATGCTGTAAAGAACCCGGAGGCGAGACACCAGCTAACTGCCCGCTGACATGTTGCGATGTCACTCAGCAAGCTTGGCCTGCAAAGGACATTCTGGTCCTGATGCACTGCGCCTGGGAGTATGCACCCGAAAGCACTGGCAAAAGTAGGCTCCCAGGATCGTGAACATTGCGTGGCAAACCTGCCTGCTTTCTAGGCATCGAGATCGCTTCCAACTGCTGTTGACCTCAGGGGCGGCTTCAAGCCTCCAGAGAGCTGTAGGCTAGGTCCGTAGGTTCAACTGCAGCTTTGCTTGAAGAGCTTGGCCCATCGCACTGGCAGGTAGCCATCGTTCTGCGCCTGCCACAGGCTCCAGAGATTACTCTGGCAATCTTTCCCGGAGGATGCACGCCACCGCTGGCTGCATTGTTCCACATGTAGGAATTGTTCTGCTGTACGCAGGAAACCTGTGCATTTGGACAGGCTCCAACTAAGACACACCTTGTCTGAAGCCCTTTTTGCCTGCAGCCGACTCGCAGCAGATCTTCCCGGCCTCTCTGTGTGCCCACCATCGGCTGAGGAAGCCTCGCCGCAAACAATCACGTATCTATCCGGGTGTCACACCCAAGCAAACGGCGAAGCTTCTGCAACATTGACGATGTCTCCGAAGGAAGCCGCAGCAAGTAGCCCCCATCTCGATTTTCGTTTTCTCACCGCGCCTTGCCGCTCTGCCAACTCGACCTGGGAAGTCCTGAGGCGATATGAAGCGATGAATTCGATTAGCCTCGTGATCTTATTCAGGGATGGAGGGGCATATTATGCATTATGTGTCTCGCGAAACTCGCAATATGCAGCTTCAGCCACTTAGCCTGACATGCATGGGGAAATGGTGCAGCATGGAGTTCTTGACACTTGCTGGAATCTTCACGCAAGCAGTCGGGGGCTGCACGGAATATGATCACGTTCCGCGAACCAAGCGCGAAGGGATTGTGGAAGATGCAACAGCACCTGCAGCAGGAGGATCCGGGACATCGGTACAAACTCTGCAGGTGGCTGTTGATGACTCGGTTTGAACACGTCCTTTCATCTTCTCGTGGCCTACCATGCATCGGACACAGCCCCTGTCTTTGACACCTCAGTAGATCGAGCATGCGGGAATTCTCTTCTGATCTCTTCTGTATCTCTGTCCGTCCCTCCCTTCGCCCCTTCTTTGTGAAAGAGGAAGAAACCGCTGTCCTTACATGTTTTCCTTCTAGTTACGAGAGGAAAGTGTTCCCCTTCAAGCTGCCTGCTCATGCTTGAAATTCGGAGCACGGAATGCAGAACAGAGGGCAAACTCGGAAGATGTCAGCGGTAATTCGGCACGGCACCATGGTTGCAAGGATACCGCCAGCAAACGCGGTGATCATCTGGAATTGCGCGCCTGTCGGAGAGACATTGTGTTCCGTTCAAGACTAGAAGCCTCCATGGACTCAAGCACAATCCGTGCAAGAGTTTGAGGGTCGGACGGCACAGCTCATACAACATCATGCAGCACAACTTCGGGACCGTTCATGCAAGCCTTGCGATGGCAAACGAGGGCTGGCTAGGCCCTCGTTGACCTGGCGGTGTCATGGAGCTTTGTAGCGTAAAGAAATACTAGTCATTGCACCCAAGCCAAATTAAAACCAAGTCCAACGTTTTGAGTTTACATTGGCTGTCTTGTGCAGCTCCCGGATTCAGGATCTCTTCTGAGGCTCCCCATAGAACTACAATGCCGCGCTATCTTGAGTTTGGAACTCTGGCTTCAATGCTAACCCGCCAGAGCCAGGGGTTCCATTATGCTCCATTCACACTTTCAGCTGCAGCCCAAACGTGCACGAAGACCGCCTCGTAGAGGAGACCCAAAGCGCGGACCTCCGCCTCTGTCTTCAGGGCCTGGGCGAAATCACACAATCGTGTTCATGTCGTTTGACGGCAGTGAATCGTAGGAATCATCCAACTGAATCGGCGACCACAGTGCTATGCAGCTTCACAGTCGAATGCTGGCAGACCCCTCGGCTGCACAGTTACAAGCTGACAGGCGCACAAGCGCGCGCTGGCGATGTCGAATGCCTTGCCACGTTTGCTCAACATCCAAACGTCAACCTGTGTCAGCAAGCAGCCTGCACGAACTTAAGATTGCTGTGGCCCCACACCACCGGTGCCGCAGGACATAGAGCAGTCGGACCATGATCTGGCGAAAAATCAGAATGAGAAAGCCGCGGAGCCGATTCCGAGCAAACAAGATTACAGACACAGGTACGTAAGGCGACGCAAGGGATGGAAACCACATGTGTGTACCATATTGTAGCTGTGAGGGAGCTGCGACCATGCCAGAATTCATGTGTGGGATGCTGCTGTCTCACTGGACATGCAAGTCAACTCTTCGCTCTCGCGATCCACAGGCCATGGTTGTAAGGAATATGCATGTGGTGGGAGGATTAGTCTGCAGTGTCAACACTGGCCGGCAGGACTCCCACTGGGACCAAATGCAGTACATCCTTGGGCAAACGACAGGCATGTTTGCTTTCATTGCTCGCGCCCGCGCCACTTCTACCCCGTTCTTCACTTCGCTTCAGACTTCTGAACAGGCCTTTAGTGAACTATCTCTCTGTCTCCATTCTCGGATTGCTTATCCCGGCACCGCCTCAGCTCTTAGTAGTCTTGCTGCTGTTGAGCTTGTCAGCTGCCAGGTGCTCCCTTCCGCCCTGAGAGGCCTGTTCTTTCTTACCAGGGTGCGCTCCGTGCCCGCTTGCCGGGCACCGCAGTGGTTCCGTGAGGTCGAAGTCAGGACATTTCTTCGCTTTTCTCTCCATGTTTCTCCATGTCTTCAGTCTGCAAGACCAGAGAAGACCACCAGGCACTGCTCCCAGTGACTCTGGGCTACCCTGCGATTCGTGGCACTTGCGAGGGCAACGCCCTGTCTCCTCGGCCGCTCCCAGCCTGAAAGTGTGCTGGCATTGAAACACACTTCCCCGATCTTCAGTGCTGGAAAGGCACAGTTCTGCTACCGCCATAGCACGACCCAACTGGCGTATTGTGGTCCTATTCATCTCGACTGCAAATTCATTTCAGTGTTCATCTTCTCCAGCTCTTACATACTGTTACTACATCGCTTCGCCGTCTTATATGCTGTGCCAATGTGCACTGGCCGGCTCAGCTTAGGATCCGGACTCACATGGCCGACCACCGTTCAACGCCTCGTGGATCACGTGCCGGAATCGTTCCCTGCGGTAGCGCGCAGTTCTGCAGCCTTCCCGTCGACTCATGCTAGGCTCGTCCGATCCTTATGTGAAGGCAAACTCATAAAGACTTACTGACACTTACCGAAGGATTCAAGATGTCCGCAAGGACGCGTGAGGTACAGCACCTCTACGAACATACCTACCGGCATGGACTTCGGGCCGCGACTAAAACAGGCCACAGATACAGGAAGCCGTGGCCTTTGACCGCCACACTTGTTGCAGGCACCCCACTGGCTCCATTCCCCCCAACCTCAGCAGCATTAAACCAATCTTCCAAACAGCGGTCTGTCGGCTATGAGAGACATGGTGTGAAGAGTCCGGGACCGAACTTGCTCACATCACGATTTTCACGGTCAGAAAACCAATGACTTTGGGTGAAAGGGCTCCCGCAATGGAGTTTGCACTTCAGGCCGTCCCTGGAGTCTTGCTCGGAGAGAGCTTCTGAAATTCGGGCATCGTGGTCTTAACATTCCGTAATTTACAGCTATCGGAAGATCGTACTTCTCGCATCTTCCTGGGCACGCTTGCAGGATTCTTAGACTGATGCTTAGATGCACAAAACTTGGGGGTCAAAGGTAGCTAGCTGCGCGAGCTCTGCCACGGATGACGTTGAACTCAGATGCTGGCGACAATCCCTCCGTGGGCCTTCATGGTGGCACTCCTCCACTTGGCATGCTCAGTAGCTACCAGGACGTGGCAAACTGCCGGGGTGCGCTTCAACAACAAGAGACTTTCTGCAGCTCTCCAAACACTTCGTCACTCACGTGCCTGGTTGTGGCATCCTCGCGTCTCTGTGAGTGATCCCAGGCCTCTGCTTAGCCAAAACTTCAACAGAGTTTACACCGAATTTCACAGAATGCTGAGCCGCAAGACCCGCCCCGAAGACATGCCGAATCGAGTCGGCAATTTCTTCTGTCCAACCCTTAGGCTCTGGCAAGGCGTGCCGCCACCTCGGGCCTGGCTTGAACGACGACGAACACCCGCTGCCACCCCGACCATCGCAGGCTTTTGCTATCTGACCGCGGGCGGTCCCGCAGCAAACGAAAGCAAGACTATCCCGACGGCACACAAAACATCTTTTCGGCAGTCACGCAGCCCAGAAAGGACTGCTTGGAAAATATGCACCCAAGACTCTGTTGAAGAGATTGCAGGAGGTACGCCCCCAATGCTATGCGTTTCTTCCACCAAGAGGATGCAATCGCTGTCGGCTGAAGCTTACGCGGTCGGTGCACATGGCGAACTTTCGCATGAACTCGCGTTCTTTCCGCAGTTCCGCTGGGCTCCGTTTGGAGACGTCGGAGTGATTTTGGCACTCGCGAAGGTGGTGCATTTCGTTCCTGCAAGTCCTTTGCTCAGTTTTACCTTCACATCTAGTGTTCCGCCACCAGTGTGGTTCGTGTTCTAGGGCGCCAACCGTGCGTCTGCTGACTCTAAGTGCTTCAAGCGGCAATTGTCGGGCCAGCATTTTCAAACTACTTTGGAAAGCTACAAGTGCTCTCATCACCCACTGCTCTTCTCAGATCAATTTTGCTCTTGTTTGCAGAAGAACTATGACTGTTCTGAGGTCTGATGGCTGCGGATGTGATCAGCTCTGTTCTTCTCTAACTACTCCTTGCCGGCACACCGGGAAGTTTTTTTCGCTTCTAAGGGAATTACAGTGCTTCACTTGCCTCCTGGTCTACGCTCCGCTCGCGCATGGATTGGCCACCACCACCTGGCTGTCAACGAGAAACAAACTCAACGCCGACTCAAAGATACCAAAAGGCTTGAATTACAGCGCCATGTCGTGCTTTGCTACAGCAGCAGCGATCGAAGCAGCTCCACTGTGGTCAGCGCGATTTAACGTGGCTGGCATGCATGTGACATCGCACTGGCCCCAGGAAGACCACCTCAGGGTTGCGAACCGGTAATCAACGAGCTAAACTTCCTTTATGGCCAAGTGAGTGTGTCTCTGTGCCTGTGTTGCAGCCCAGCCCACGCCGGTTCTAGCCATTCTGGCTTGTAGTATGCAGGATTCAGGACCCTGGAAATGCCCAATACAGACGGGGCATCACGGGCGATGCGAATTCGATGTGAAGGCTGGTCGTGCGTCCAAAACATGTTGCGAGCAGACCGAGACAAGTCGAAAAGCTCTCGGATCCAAGCTGGCTGATGACGCAGTCTCGCGCATGCACCTGGTCTGGCCAGAATACAGACAAGCAGATGCTAAAGCTCGATATGCTCGACACCCATCCCGAGGCGACGGCAGGCTGGCAAGCGATGGGCGCAGGGGCCCCTGGGCTTGGGGCACATGGCGACGTCTCCTGAATAAAACCAATGCCCATGCAAGGGCACAGCAACTGACTGCACCACAAGATGCCACGCACGAATAAGGCTTCCCAAGTGATGCAGTGCGGACTCATGTTTCATTCAGTCTCACTCGTCCTTGGTGGCACCAACACACCACTCACCCCTGCCCCGACCATGTACCTTGGCAAACCAAGTTCAGGGTCCAGCCAGCATCAGCAAGAAGGGAGCGGGAGCGAAAAAACAGGGTTCTGCTTTCTGCGGGGCATCCAAGGCCGTCGGCTGTCGCATGTTTTCGTATGCAATGGGCAGCATTCCAGTCGTATCTTTGTGAAGGGCACGTTACCGATTGCCCTATTCCGAAACCTGAACTCCAGATCACGGTAGCTCCATGCGGACTTTGAAAGCTTTCCGCCCGGGGCTTATGTCAGGCATGCCTGAGCTGGCATGTGTGCAATCACATGCTTCTTCTAGCAACAACGGCCCTTGCATGCCCTTATCATGCAAGTGTGCCCCGTAACCGTTCAATATCTTTGAATGGTCTCTCTCCAAGTGCACGACTGCAATCCTGCGAGAGCGGCGCTTGATGCCATCACAAGTCCTCCCAGGCTTCGAGCAGCTCCAACACCAGGAGCTTTCAAACCCCCAGCCAAGATGAAATCCGATCATCTGGCTGTCCATGAACTCCACCCATTCCCCTTCCCCATCCAAGTGCCTGGTACATGCACTCCACTGAGTCCAGGAATCAAACTGGCAGTTGACGTCCCCAGCACACGGCACATTCTGGTTGCAAGGAGCCTGGCATCAGGACCGAAGTGCATGCTCCCGAATCTGCAGGAACTCCGGAAAGGCGTAAAGAAAACGCAAATGCCAAAGGCTTAAACGAGCCATCACGGCCACATCCCGCGAGAATCCTTCAGCAGGTCGGCCGCATTCATTGGCCTTCGGATCCCACTGCTGTGCAGGATCAGAAAGAGTGAGAAATGCCTAGGATCTTACTGATGCTAAACGCTGCTTGCCGTAGCTTGTTCTTCATTCATCCAGCCTGTCAGTTGAGCGACGACAAAAACTTGTCACGGTCTGCCTCTGAAGGGTTCCAAAATGCACAAAGTTGTGTTGATCGACACTATCGTTCAAGCTTGCTACTTTATCTCGGAATGGTAGGCCGGAGTGTAGCACCACGACGCGACGTGCTGCCATGTGCCTAATCACAGATGACATCTTGTTTGCTGCCCAAACAGCACGAGCAAAGCTATTATTGGCTCTTGCTGCTCTTTTAAGACTCGTATGTTCGGGGTCGGACGTGAAAGCAAGCTCCGAGTCTACCAGGATGAGGGCCAGCGCCCGGCTTTCCGAGCGGGCGTGGGCCGCAGATGATGAGGTTTTGGAGGACTTCTCGAGAGATCACAAGAAGACAATCTGAGCTCTTGGAAACATGCCTTGCCTCTGACTGATGTCGTTCTTTTTGCTTAGCTTCTTGACCACAGCATTTATTCCGAAATAGTCAGGTTTCAGGCTCAAAAAGGTGACTGCTAAGCGGATTGCCCAAATTTCACTAAACAGTCACCCTTTCAGGCTCAAAAAGGTGACTGCTAAGCGGATTTTGGGCCAAATGGCCAAATTTCACACAAAGCATGGGGGCCTGTCGGCTACACTCTGCATCCTCTTGCCCGAACATCCCCGTTTCCAGCTGCAAGCTGAGATCGTCTGATCCCCGCTCCGGGCTGTTCGAGAGCATTGGCCGACAACACTCCTCTGCATGCTCTGGCCCTCTGTTCGCCTTGGGCCTAGCGCTAGGAATCTCAGCCTCCTTAAAAACAGGACACGACGGAAGTATGAACATAGCTGTGAGGCTGAACCAACGTGAGCGAGTGCGCGGACATGAGTAGTGCGATTGAGTGAAAAGGTAGTACATGGCTGTGCATTTTGGGATGGAGTCAAAACCTTGGTCATCTTTCATGGGGCCGGGAGGGTGTGCAGGGGGTCCTTGTCAGCGCCTGGGCCCTGTCATGGGCCGCTGGAGGCGCCTCACCTCTCGTTCAACTTCCATCTCACTTCGTGCTGTGCCATTTCGTTGTCTGGCGCAGAGGGGTAAGATCCGTACCAGGTACGCATCATTCCGATCATTCCGCATTTTTCGTTTGTACCGTTCTTGGAGCAGGACCATGCAGACATTGGCACAAAATTCTCATCGTGACTTGGTTTGAATCATCATCATCATCATC